AGATGTTATTGTACACTAAATGTACATGCAAGTTCCAAAATCCCCATTTGACAGAGGATAAATCCAGACGTGGGCGTGCATACTGTTTGGGAAACATTCATATTTAATTCACAACCCACAAAATTCTTTCAGCCCAAAAAAGTTGTAGGAAGAGATTAATCTTCAGAGATCCCCCGGGGAGACTTACACAGCTGAGCTACTCACCCTGAACTCCCTTTACATATAAACTCAACTGCTTTTAGCTCATGATTCAATCGATCTCTTTGAGATCCACACTAGGTTGGGAGGCTCCATGACTCCAAAGGGGCCTTTTTTCCCATTTTGCTGTGCCCAAAGCAAAGGCCACCCCGCTCCAACACCAGCAGAGATCTGTGTGTGTCAACAGATCCCACTTCTGGCCCTGGTTACCAATTCCTGGATTTTTACCAGTCGGAAATTATTTGGCATRTCAGGTTTTATAGTGACTTATTCACGGCACCCAGACAGGCAGGGAAGGAGGGAGCSTTCATCACTGCTGTGATGGGTCACAGTGTATGGCAGGACTTGGGGAAAGCAGGATGTGTGTGTGGTTACTGCCAGACACTCCCACAGCAAGGCAGCCGCTGCCAATACCAGCTCCAGAGCAGGAGATTTGTGAATCCTCAGCCCTGGGGGTCTGTGCAGCAGGAAAGGRGCCAGCAACACTCTCAGCAGGAAACCAGCGTCCCTAAGAGAAGGTGCTGCAGAGCTGCTGCAGTCAGAGGGAGCGCAGTGAGGAAACCTTGGGATGCTAATTAATCCCCCTTTGGGAAGATATTTATTAGGCAAATGCCTCACATTCATATGCACATCTGCAGTCAACAAAGAGGCTTTTACTTTTTCCCCAGCCCAGCAAAGAGGGAGGGTGGGAGATTGCTGTGACCAAACAGCCACTGGTGCTGGGGGTACCCAGCCTGCTCCGGTCATCTTGGGTGAAGCGTGGAAAAAACAGTTGGAATGATCAAGGTCCAGGCTGGAGGAGAACCTTGAGGCASTTGAGATCTTTAAACCTGATTATCTTCCCCCCTGCTCACTGATGGAGACATTGCAAAGAACAGGGTGGGAGCCATCCCTGACAGACAGCCTCATCCTGCTGGGATGAGCTGTTCCGGAATCACTGCATTAATATAACCTGGGGCAGCTTTTGCTGTCAACCAGCTAATTGCTGAGGTTGATAGATATAGCCCTGATGAGCACAGGACTGTGGCTGCTTGCAGCTTCTGCAGAAGAGCCAGCAAGACCTCTCCTTTTCCAGGAGACACTGAGCAGTGGGTCACGGAGGTTTTAGGGGGAGCTGCCTTGGTGCTCCCCACTCCTGACGTAGGTGCTGTGAGAGAGCAACCGCTCTTCCTGAATTGTTTGCTTCATCTGCAATCACACAGATCTCACTGCTTCAAGAGTTACAGTAAAATCCAGCTGGAAGATGTTTCAAGTCATGCAAAGCCCAGGGTTGGACAGAAAACCTAAAATTTCAGATGGAGAGCAGGGTATGAGCAGGGGAACTGGTAATTCTGTTCTCCCTTTGCAGGGAGTGACTCCCCTTGACCCAAGATGAGAGCAGATGATTTGGGAAGGATAAATAATGGCATTTCCAAAGCTTACTGGTTTGATGTGCTAATCCAAAGTAAAGTCAGCCTAAAGCAGACCTGCTGAAGGCAAAGCATGTTTTTTACTGAAACACTCAAACATCCTCAGCCCCCAGAGTTACACAGCTTGCCCTCATCATCCCAGGTTTTTATCCCCAATGTACCAATGGATCAAACATCTGCACAGCCTCCTGTTTTACACTGAGCAGCAGGAGCTGCTGAAACACTGGCACGACATTCAAACTTTAAACTGTCCATCTTCATTAAATTAGTTCTATCCGTGAGGTTCAGCAGTCGGTCATGGCATGTGGGAGATTTACCCTCAGGTCCTGAAGGAGCAGAASTAAACTCAAGAGTAAAATCCTCAGTGACTTGGGATGACAACTGCGTTCTTAAAGACCAAAAGCTCCTGGCAGAGCAGTTGCTTTGCCAGCAAGCTGCTGTTAACAATATTCTTTTCATTCCACGGACCCAAATCTGCCGTCTGTGAACCTGACTGGCTTTTGCAATTGATTTCAGAGAGGCTCCTTATTTTCACTGACATTTGCTTCGGTCAGTCACAGCTTTCAGCTCCTTCTCCTTCCCTCCCACCCACCATACAGCACCCCCAGAATCTCCCCTTCGCCCCATTTACAGAGAAGGCTGAATCCTGGCTCTGCAACAAGAAAGGCAGTTTGGCATTCAGACAACRAGGAAAGACTCAGGAAACTTGGTCCGGTGCTTTGTGTCTTCTTTGAGTCACTGCATGATGGTGCATAAATCACTGCATCCCTCTGTGCCTCAGTTCCCTCGCTGTGGCCAAGGATGATACYCCCATTATCTCAGGGGAACAGAAGATATTGATTACTGCTCCTATGATGCTCAAATGTGGCAGCATAAATAGTAAACAAGTGTTTAGTGCTTTTCTAAAGATAACTCATCTGCAAACACTCAGGTCCAGAGCCCGAAACTGGGAGCTCCCTTGGCTGTTACATAACTGCAGTAGGTTGGGTTTTTTTTTTGGTTTTTTTTTTTTTTT